GGTCTGGGAGTTCGAGCCCCGCGTCAGGCTCTGGGCTGATGGCTCAGAGCCTGGAGCCTGTTTCCGATTCTGTGTCTCCCTCTCTCTCTGCCCCTCCCCCGTTCATGCTCTGTCTCTCTCTGTCGCAAAAATAAATAAATGTTGAAAAATAAAATGTTAAAAAATAAATAAATAAATAAATAAACATTAAAAACTATTTTTTTAACACATTAAAAAAAAATAAGTAAAAGTTCTTCAGAGTTGAATAAAAACTTGACTGACATTTGACCAAATCCAGTTAAAGTACAAACTTGACTGACATTTGACCAAATCCAGTTAAAGTACAAACTTTAAGATTAGCATGAAACAAACAATAAGCGAAAATGACTTAGGCAAATATGAAAATTTAAATTATTTTATTATAAAAATTTATATAAACCATAAAAACAACAGTTAAAAACAAAGCCTAAACAGAATTAAGCCAGTACACAAAACATTTCAAACAAAAACCTGATCAGCTTCTTTGAAATTATTCGTCTTTTAGGTATCTGATGACTCCTAGACCTAAAACAGCGATTTCCATTACTCTTAGGCTATGAAATATTAAACAGTATGTTTAAAAGACAAACCAGATTTTCAAACTTAAGGATTCACAAATACTTGCCAGGTGACCACCAAAATCTGTGTGTAATTAACAAAGTTATAAATCCAGAATACAAAATCTACCCAAAATCATCTAACCAAGTACCAAACTACTTAAACGAGACTCAGCTTCTGAGATGGCATAAAGAGAAAATTAGAATCTTCAGGTTTTTGTCAGTATACACCTGTTTGTTTTTGTCAATATACTTTTAAAAACAAATCAAACCAGCCACCATTCCTGAAAGCCCTTCTTACATTGTACTGGAATTTGAAAGGACTTCTAATAACTTCAAGCTCACATAAAAAAATAGGGTTTTTTTCCTCACTGAAATTACAAATAATTTTTCTTCTGAACCTTTAGCATTTGTCAGTAGTAAACCCAAAGCTTCTAGAGAACAGTTCTCCAACATTATTGCTTTTTTTTCTCCCCCTCATTACAAAAGGAAAGAATTCTATCTGGGGGACAACACTGAACCGTAAAAAATCCATTCTCCCCAAGAGAGTCCCCCTCTGAACCCAGACACCGGCTTTCACAAATCAGCTCTCACACAACTATCTCTGAAGAAAAAGTTGCCGCCAGAGTCCTGCACCCACTCTCCTCACTCACTCAAGATCGGACTTTGCACTTATTCGGTGACAAACTGTTATTATTTGGATGACTGTGTCCAGACACGTAATGATGTCAGAGAAAAGAAAAAATATCTGTATCTGAAGCTAATCTGAATCTCGACAATCGGGAGTTTATTTACATGACTACTGTAAAAGTCAGCTGTGGAATCAAGGAAGATGGTCTATGTTGACTAATGCCAGCACCGCACGGTTGCTTTCTCCAAAACTGCACTCAAATTTCACGGGTCGTGCATTCACAGTAAGAACCTAGTCACGGGTAACAGAGTCCAAAGCCTGTGGTCAGTCAGGACGGGCTGACTGACAAATGAGCACCTCATTTAAAAAAAAAAAAAAAAAAAGTCACTAACTAATTTGTGCTTTCTTCTCTTCTCCCTTTGTGGCCAAAAACCAGTCAGAAATGATTTGGGGTACATTGCATAGAATGACTCCCTCAAAAAAAGCAGTCTCCCAAAAGCACAGGACGAGGATAATGGTTTAGAAATCTTTCCTGTAAGAAATTTCAGTAAAAATTATCCTACACATGCTGTATTTTTTCAGGGCCTTCCCAACACAGACTCTGCCATACAATTTCTATTCATAGGCTTGAAAAGATGGGCAGAGTGTGGGGGCGGGTGGATCTTACGATCATGCTGATGCTTTCAGTTTCTTTTTCTTGGCCTTCAGCACCGGAGGCAGCGAAATCTTAAAGGCTGTCCTGAAATGACACAGAGGACCACACTCTTCAGTGCTCTAGACTTTTCCAGTGTGAGCCAGCCACACAGCCTGCCGGGGGATACTTACTCGCAGGTGGTGCAGATAGGACTGAAATTGCAGAATACTGTAAATTGAACAGACAAAATAAACAGGATGTTGGAAAAAACCAGTTATTTTCTGACCATCCCCCACCCCCGCACAACACACAAAAGGACAACCCTGTGCTTGAACTTACTTGACAAGCACACAGAGCAGACATAGCCAATTTCAATAAGATTTCGATGACAGAAGCAAGCAGCCCGGTAGTCCACGTGAATCGGGGGTGGGAGGATTAACTGAGATCTTTGATCTTGATCGGGAAGAAAAACCCACTGGGGGGGAAAAAAGGCAAGGAAGATAATTTTATTTAGAACATGGGGGAAAAGTAACCAGAAGTCAGGATATCAAATATTAGCCAGTGAACACTAACGAGAATAAATTAGGATCTTCCTTAAAAGTCTATCAAGAAATGCATTTTTATCCATCTCCCAGCGACCCAGCACATCCACACGCAGGCACCGTTCTGTGAACAGTCCTACAACTTTCTACACACAGCCGCCTCCAGAAATCACCTGAAGTGTGGGCACCCTTGTAGGTTCCAAACCCCCGGGGCCACCATTTGCTCCTTCTTCTTCCAATTACTGGCCTCAGCCACCTTGCTCCCATTCATTCCCCAGGAAACGGGGTCTGTCCCTCGGACTCCAGGTGTCAGGCTCCTTACCAGTAAATACTGCAGGAGGGAGGGCATCTGAGGCACCTTCAAGTACAGTCCCCCCGTGATGTCACAGGCCTGCAAGACATACAGAGGGCTCTCTGCCGAACTGGCACGTGCTTAAGCTTTTCTAGAGGGATGGAATTCTCACCAGGTCAGGTCTCCAAAGGAGGATATGACTGAGCAAATCAAAAGGGAATGGTCTCCCAGGGTGAGGGAGGACCACAGGCTTCCCGCTACCTCTCCAGGTTTCCAGCTATCTTATCCCCCGCCCAGGCACCCCACTCTTTCGCCCTTTGGAGACCTCAGTGTAGCACAGTATATGCCCTTTCTCCTGTGTTGGCTACTGATACAATCTTTATTCCTGCCATGTTTACTCGTTTTCATTATATTTTTTAGCAACAGCTTTGAGATACTTCATAGGTCATAAAATTCAGCCTTTTAAAGTGTGTAATTCACTACTTTTCACTGTATTCAGCGTTACGCAACTGTCACCACTATCTAGATCCAGAACATTTCCTCACTCCAAAAAGAAACCCCATACCTGTTAGCAGTCACTCCCACCCCCTTCCTCTAGTCCTGGGCTACCACTAGTCCACTCTCTAGCTCTATGGATCTGCCTATTCTGGACACTTCGGATCAACGGACTTAGGCAACATGGGTCCTTTCCTTAGCAGCGTGTTTTCAAGGTTCATCCGAGTTGTGGCACGTTATCAGCACTTCATTCCTTTCCATGACCAAATGCTATTCTATTGTATGGTTATACCACAATTTGCTTAACCCCATTCATCTGTTGACGGACGCTTGGGTTCAAACGGGGGAAGACAGAAGAGTCAACCAGGTAAGTAAACACAGAAATAACGTCACAAGTTATCATTTCTATGAAGAAAAATGAAGCTGGGTAAGGGGACGGGGAGTGACCCTGGACAGTCAGGGAAGGCTTCTCTGAGGAGGTGACTCAACTGAGGAAAAACCTCAGAGGCAGAGGAAACAGCAAGTGCAGACAGCCTCAGGCTGCAGCGGGCCGTGGTTTGAAAGCAACAGCAAGGAGCCCGTTGTGGTTGGAGCGAAGTGGGAGACGCCACGCAGACAAAAAGATACCCGGAAACTGTATCGCGTAGGGAGCACAGATGGCCACGGGAAGACTCTGGGTTTTAGTCCATCCCGTTGGGATGCCACGGGAGGGTTTTGAGCAGGTGGGTGACAAGATCTGATTTGAAAGCTTCGCTCTGACCGCTGTGCTGAGAACCGACTTGGGTGGGCGTCAGCAAGGAAACAGAGGCCAGTCAACAGATCTTACAAGCTTCCGCTTGAGTGGTAGTAGTGAAGCGGAAGACATACGGTGGGATTCAGAGACTATTTCAAAGATCAAACCGACAAGATTTGCAAGGGTAGGAAAGGAGAAGAGAAGAAACAAGTTAGAGTCAGAATTTTGGCCTGAGGGGCTGACGGTCTGAGCTGCCAGTTGCTGAGATGGGGATTCCCCTGGGAGGCAGCATGAAAACCTCAAGTTCCGATTTTGACATGTGAAACCTGACATGCTGCTGGTGGTCCAAGGGGAGATGCCGCATATAGAGCTGAATACTCAAGTCTGGAACTCACAGAGCCTGTGTCTGACCCACGCATATAAATGTGAGGGCCAGGGAGGCAGAGCTGGGATTTTTTCCTTTTATTTATTTTTTTAATGTTTATTTATTTTTGAGAGGGAGAGAGAGGGAGGGAGGGAGAGGGAGGGAGGGAGGGAGGGAGGGAGGGAGAGAGAGAGAGAGAGAAAGAAACAGAGCGTGAGCAGAGGAGGGGTAGAGAGGGGGAGACACACAATCCGAAACAGGCTCCAGGACCCGAGCTGTCAGCACAGAGCCGACGCGGGACTCGAACCCACAAACCTCCAGATCATGACCTGAGCTGAAGTCGGACATTTAACTGACTGAGCCCCCCAGGCGTCCCGCAGAGCGGGTATCTAAATTCATGGCACAGGCAAGATCTTCTAGGAGTTAGCAGACGCTGTGTAGGCTGAAATGTGCAGTTAAAACACGTACTCAACCTTTTTGGTTTTTTAATTCTGAGATATAACCATACGCACAAGACTATACATACATAACATGGAAGTATGGTTTTGATACAACGAACACCATGTACCTACTGCCAAGTTTAAGAAATAAGACCGTTCCAGAACCTCTGACTCTAGGGTACTTTCCAACCGTATCTCCTACTCCGCAACCTCAGTAGTAACCTAAACTCCGCGTTTTCCAGTTTTGTGCTTTTAACTGATCTTTTAGGAAATAATATTTCTTGTGGTCAAAAAACATTTATCCGAAGTTCAGCAGTATCTTTAGTCTTCTTCCCCCCCCTTTTGATTTAATTAAACCTCTTTTCCACACGTTTGATTAAAAAGCAACATCCAACAGTGCCATCCAACAGAAATATAACGTGGGCAATAATGTGAAACTTAACATTTTCTAGCCGCATAAAAAAAGGGGAAAAAAACAGATAAAATTAATTTTAATAACATTTTATTTAACTCAGTATATTCAGAGTATTATCGTTTTAACATGTAATCAATACAGAAATCTTTACATTCTGTTCTTCACACTACGTCTTTGAAATTCACTGTGTATCTTGCACTTAACGGCACATCTAGGTTCAGACCAGACTCATTTCAAGAGCTCAACAGCCATGTAACTATCACGTAGGACAGCACAGATGTGGAGTTATGATCCAGTCTTTATAAAATGTTCTACTTGGTGATCATTCTTCCACCTATACCTTGTGTAGAGAGAGATCTGTCACGCTGTTCGCCTAAGACTAACAACGGTAATTTGAAGACGACAGGATTTGAAGGGATTTTTTTTTCCCCTTTAAAAAATACTTTCCTGTGTCGTTGGACTTCATTTCAATGTGTGAGTCACTTTCACAGAACCAATCAAAGTCACTGTGTGGAGCATAAATAAACATTTTAAAGGAACCAGAGAGCCGTTCACCTGAAACTGCTGTGACGCTGCGTGTCAACTATACTTCAGTGAGAAAAATAAACTAAAACAAGGACCAGGAGATGCGAGTGCTCCAAGCTGCAGCAGCACACAGGCTAACCCTACAACCGGGTGCAGGCCGGTGAGAAGCATTCACAAGAAATCAAGAGAGCACACCATGCTCCCTGGACCACCACCACCGCGCTTTCCTTGAACACGTACCTGTTGGAGGAGTCCTGAATCCGAGTCTAAAACACAGGCATCGATCAAAATATTCTGAAACGAACATTCCGGAAACATTATAAGAGTAATAAGAATGACTAGCTTATATCGGGTAACTACTGTGTGCTACACTCCTCTCAAAATACCTTATGTGATACACAGGATAACTCTACAAGGTGGATACTGCGCATCTGCAGCTGAAGCACCCAGGCCTTGGCCAGGCTGCGGTCACAGAACCGGTAGAAGGCAGTGCTGTCACCCGCCCCCTCCAGTCTGCCTGTCCCCAAAGCCCACGGTCTTTCACTACAGCATGCGGCTGCTCCAACATGGAGAATATTAGGCATGGACATGGGAGCATTTGGGGCTTAAAACTGAAGTTTTAAGAAAGTTTTTCTTAACATGTCAAAGAAGAAAATGTCTTAGTGATAATTCATTTGAATTAGTGAAAATTCACTCAAATATTTGCAAGGTAAAAATATCAAATCTTTCTAAGACCTCCCCACGCAAACAGATAGAGAAACTGAGGCAAGGTATGGTGTGAATTGCAAACTAGGGATTCTTAGCCTGAGGCCCAAAGATGGGTCCAAGGATGGGCTAGACAAGGGTTCCATGAATTCCATGAAACTAAATGCAAAACTGGGTTTCAGAGTGCCTTTTTCTGGGGACCCCTCAGATTCTCATGGGCTCCAGGACCCAAAACAAAACAAAGAAACGACTAGTACAAAATATGAATTCCAGATTCCTAATCCACTGATAAGGCCAGTTAGTCAGACTACCTTTCTATGTAGGTCATTCAAAAAATAAAATTAATTCCTTCATAAGGAAACAAATATTCTTTAAAAAGAATGCTCTCCTTAGCGGGGGGAGGGGGAAAGAGAGAGAGAAAGGCAGGCAAACTAAGAAACAGACTCTTA